GCCGGATTTGGACTCTTTGGTGATTTATCAATCTCACATCGCACATTGTAAGATCAGATTAAGAGCCGTGACATTTGAGTCCAAACTGTAGCATTGAAGCCCAAGAGCGCATTTACACATAAGTAAAAGTTTTCCAAAGCAAGAGAAGGGCAGGCATCTTTAGCATTAATAACACCGCTGTATCACATCCGGCGAGCCCCAAAAAGGTTCGCAAACGGCGTCGACGCAGTACACTGGAGCTGCTTTTGTGGAAGCCACCCTATAATGTGGTCATCATTAAGCTGGCACATCATCACCTCCCGGTAATCTGTGTTATCCATAAGTGTCGAGGCGAAATGAAATAGCGGCGTACCAATAAGAGATGGAATAGTCGTCAGGCGATGCATGCACTCCGAGATAATGTACAGCGATTCGTTACCTGTGAGGTGCCTCACCGTAACCTGCTGATTCTTGGTACGCACCACATCTGTTAGATTGTTCATGCTTTCCGCAATAACTGACGCTTCACTTGTTGTTTTCTTCGACTTTGAAACACTTGTTGATGACGTCTTTCTCCTTTTTCCCTTTTCAATCGGAACAGGTTCCAGTGAAGAATCTGAATCCACGTCCTGTACTCCTGCGGGTATCGGATCAACAAATGGCTGCACTCCAAAACTGTGCACATAATCAAATGAGTCATCAGCATCTTCAGCAAGTTTCTCTCCCCGGGTCCAATGGTGCTTACCAGTAGTTGATGCCCCGATGAAGACCGTCTCCATCAAGTCACGATGTTCTAAAGTTTTTTTCCTGAACTTGGCACACACCTTGTTTATCTGCACAATTGGAGATTTATGAAAGAGGAAGATGTTACATTTCATATAACAAGTAATGCAGTTAACTTGAAAAGTTTAAATGTACTGGTAACAGACAAATATGAAACGTAAGAAACATGTGCTTACCGATTCCATCTTGTCCTACCACTCCTCAAGTGCCTGAAACATACCGGCGTCACTGTCAAACCCTATCCTTGACACTCCTTTGCTTGAATCCATCAACTTTGTCCACGCTTGCCACTTTTTTTTCAAACTTATGTATTTATTCTTCAACTGTGTGGGGCCATGTTTTCTTCCTATTTTTTTCTCAAATTTCCTTGCCAAGGACTTGTACCCTGCTTGGCTGAGGACTAGGAATGGTCGATTTCCTTTTGTAATCTCATTTGCAAGCAACTGCAGGAAAACTCGGATTGAGTCACTGTCCCATGAGGCCTTGTGGCTGAACTGATTATGTGTCTCTTCAAGACTGCTTGACTTCTCTGTGATAATGCTCTTTGCTTTTGGATTGGGTATGCGGAGAAGTACGTATGGAAGCCATTACTAATGTACAGTTACAAAAGATTACCATCACAAATTCGGTTGTTATATACAAACGCATAAGCCATTGCACATTAATAACAACAAACAGAGAGATAGGATGCTAAATTAGACAGCATATAACCATTGCACATTAATAACATACATACACAGGTTCCATGGAACTTAGTAGTGCACATAGTTATGATAGTCATTAATATGTCTACCGTTTCGTAGTGGAGGAAGGCAAAGGCAGCTTAAAGTCATACTAAAACATACTACCAACATACTAACAACCTCGTAACGTGTTTATACATATTGACAACATCCTAACGTTGCTTACATACAGAACAACAAAATGACAACGACAATGCATAGCACATATACAATGGTCTTAAGGACACGCAAGGATTGTTGAATGTCTATGACATCAACCCGCAATTGCATGACAATTTCGTCTCTTGTGACGCATAGTCTTGGTTCTCTCGCCTTGGTTCTTCGCACCAACCAATCCAACTGACATAGGGCTGATGAGTGCAAATGATGGAACTATTAGTCAATGGGTTGTTAATGTTCATGCAGTTCTGACCGGTAAAGAATGGGTCACTCACCACAGGGCGGGGACATGCAAAGTAGGAACGCCTTGGATTTTTGGTGGACCTGGAAATCTTAACAATACAAGGGCCATGTCCACAGGCACACATTCGTCGTGGCCATGTACTGGAAGTTGCAATAGAGGTAAACGAAGCCATGCTATGCTTTATAAACATTCGGAAGTGACAATGAATCATATAAGTAATTAGTTTATGTTATCCATATACCAGGTTAAACATGAATTGAATACGCTGATGCACAAGTTTCATAGGATAGGTATACAAACTCCATATTTTGTTCAGTTTATTTTAAAGAAAAGCAGCCTACATTATCATGGTTTCACTGTCAAAGTGTTAATAGAAAGGTAAATATCTAATTTCCTTTTCAAACCTAATAGATAAAAAAGGCATGAACACCGTGTGTTTACATGATTGAAATGAAGAATTCATGATCAAATCAAGTCAAAACATTGTAAATTATGAAGCCGTAATCAAATTACAATTCAATTAAATTTACATGAATCAAAATGATAACGTATAAAGACTAACGTAGTCGTAATTTGATTCCATTAACGAAATTGATTTTTTTTGTAAAAGTATTGTGCATCTGTAGCTTCGTATAGTGGTAGGAGTATTTATTAACCCATATGCACTTGCACAGATTTGATATATAACCATTAATTTTATTATTATTATTATCCTAGTTATTATTATTATTACGTTTTTTGAAATTTGAGAATAGTCTATTTATATAAATAATGTTAAAGATTAAGCTTGTATCCACATGACTAAAATTAGACATACTTTTTTTAAAAAAAAATCTAAAATTAATTCATATATACTTAGACTAGATCAACTGAAAAAAAGTTATAACCACTCACAGTTCGATCCATTTCACACCCAGTTCAGAATGTCACCAACCCAATGTTTGGTATCACACATTAACATTAAATCAATTAGAATTGGTAATATTATGACGACTGTCATGATATAAGGGAAATATAATAAGAAACACTAGTACAGTAATCAAGTTAACAGAAAACCGGATATATGAATAACCAGAAAAAAGTGAACTTCAATAACACAAAAACAAATCAAGTTAACAGTTTTTAATAACAGTGTTTAAAGAAGTGAAGTTGAATAACCACAACCCAAAAATCTGACATATATGAATGAAGACAGATATGAGGACTGTTTTTTGGAAGAGAGATGGAGACATTCTCAGATTTATGAATACAACAACAGAGGGTTTTATTCAGATTTCAGAATGTTAGCAATACATACATTTACATTTCTTTCTTCATTCAGCATTGACATTACCAATGTTACAAAACAGAAATTTGTAACAGAGTCAGATGTGATTCACAGATTTCATTCACAGAACCCATTCAGATTTCAGATTTCATTCACAGACTCAGATTTCATTCAGTATTGACAAATCAATAGGTATTTCATAGATAATATTCAGCATTGTCATTTTTTTATTTTTTAATGACAATGATAAGAAATCAACTTACCAATGCTACTAAAATCAATTTTGTAACAGAATCATATATTCCTTCACAGATTTAAATTGATATCGCTGACCCAATTTGTGATGGTAGCCTTTATAGGTGCATCGTTAATAATTTCACTATTTGGTGGCTGTAATTGTGATTTTATGTTGTTCTTTCTATAAATTGAGGAATGTTCCTTAAATCAGGTAGGAGAGGAGATGTGTGAAGCAAAATACAGATGAGGAAATAAATGGCAAGAATTATATTCTCGTTTGGGGACTGATTATTTTAGCTAAAAAGTTAAAAAGTCAACTAAAATTAGTCACATCACTTTTCTACTTTTCTGCACATTTTTTCGTAAAAAGTCAAAAAGTTACTAAAATAGTCTGTTCCCAAACGAGACCGTCCGTTTGGGAAGTAGGTTGGCTTTTTAGTTTTTTGACTTTTTGATTATTTTAGCCTGGGGTTAAAAAGCCTGATTTGGGAAGGACTTTTTGACTTTTTTTGTGAGAGATGAGTGTAATGATTATGGGTTGAATTTGATGTTTTGTTTTTTGTGACTAAAATAGCCCATTTTATTTTTTGTAACTATTTTAGCCCCTAACCCACCAAAACCAACTTCCAAAACTATGCCTGAAATGTATAGTTAAAATTATTGAATAAAATACATAAATAGATTCTGGAAATTTATATTTAAAGGTTCTTTACGAAGCCATATAAATTCTTAAAGAATTTAATTTAATTTTTTTTCTTATATATTGTGTTCAAAGTATTATTTTATCTGCTTTACATTTTCTTAATTTTTATAATATTGAATTTTTTTAATCAATTTAAACTCTAATTTTTTGATTATTTTTAATTTAAATCATTTGGCTATTTTAATTAAGTAAAACCAACAAAAAGTAATTATTTTAGTTATTAAACTCAATGTAAATATACATAAAATGTCTAAAATATTTATTTTCATTAAATTTAATTACTAAAATATTTTTCATTAATTTTAATTAAAAAAATAGAAAAATAATTTATATTAAAAATAAATAAAAAAATTAAAATTAAATTAACAAAATTTAAAATTTAGAATTTATTTGATTAAATATTATATATATATTTTTTTGAAATTTCAGGAGGTGAGTGTAATTTACCATAATAAATATAAGGGTAAATTACAAACACCCTCTGAGATTTACTTAAATTATAAATTATTCCTGTAGTTTTAAAAATTACATTATGTCTCCAAGATTTTTAATTTCATAACAAATAAGTCATTTTATTAATAAATCATCAAGTTAATTAATAGTTTTTAATAATATTAAAATTTTATTTTAATTAATAATTCAGATAATTTTATTATTGTATATGTAAACAGTTAAAAATTTTATTTTTTTAATTAATTCTGTTAAATAAAAAATTCTGATAGAAATATATTTATAATTTTTCAAATTATAGAGAATAATTCATATTATAAGCAAATATCAAAGGTGTATTTGTAATTTACTTAAATATAAAAAAAATAAAAATGAAATTATGAAAAGTGCGTTATGGCGCCAAAACAGAGCCGCGTTCGTAGCCACTTTTTCAAAAAGCGAGTCTGTCTGTCTCTAATGATTGTCTCCCAAAATCGACGGCGACTCCAAATCCCCAAAAATCGAATATCAAATCAAATACTGTAAAGAAAAAAAAGTCGAGCGACCCACCCTCCGTCTCTCTCTCTTTCTGTAGTAACGCTCGCTCAGTGTGGGTCCAAGCTGCAAATTTCTAGGGTTTCTAGTTTTTTTGTTTGGTGTGTGTGAGTGTGTGTGCGTGTTCTGCTCTATCAGACACGGATCGCCATGTCGACTACTGTTTGTGTTGCTTCTGCGTCGCCTTCTCACTCTGCAACAACAACAACAACAACAACATCAACATGTGGCTCTCTCCTCCAGGAATTGCAGGTACTTCCCCTCCTCTCTCTCTACATTTATATGTTAATGTACATTTTCAATCTTGGTTTTGTTTTTTGATTACTCTACTGTTACTGCTCCTCATCGTTTTGATCTTCAATTTTGTGATCATATGCCTGGGATGATAACTGCCTCCAAATGATCATTGAATTTCATTTTGTTATATTGAATCTCAATTTAAATTTTGTATGTATATGTGGATGTGATGTGTTTATATGTATTACACGTTCATGAGTATAACTCAACTTCAAAAGGCGATGTGGAACTTCGCTTCACATTATGCACATCCATTGAGTTTATTCATTTGTTTTTTTTGGGGGAGAAAAAGGAATATATTGTTTAAGTCTTGCTTTTGTGAAAAGGAAATGACATAATCTTGGAGTTTCAATTAATTAGAAGGCTCGTTGATTTGTATTCTCTTTTCACATTATCACAGCACAACTGTGACTAGTTAATCTGGCTCATGCTTCTTTTAGTTTTGTTCATTCATATTTGTTTCCCCTGTTTTTCGGTATTCAAGTGAAGAAGCAATCATTGTTCGTGTTATAACTGATTGTATTTACGTTATGACCTGCCCTGATGGGTACTGATTTTAAATCATACATGTGAGTTGATTTTAGTTGAACATTTTGACTAATATCAGCTGTTAAAATTGGTTTGTTTTGGGACATTTTTTCTCTGCCACGGTCAGAAAACATGTTTATTCTATGTTTCCTTGCCTTGAAAATCAATGAAAAGTGTTGGTACTAGCAAACATTCAAAGTCCGACTGAAAAATAAAATTTCCTCATCTAAGGATGATTTTCCACATCATGTGACGAAAATAAGTAAATTGTTGAGTGAAAGGCAGACTAAAGAAATAGATTTGCATAACTGAAACTAAAGAGTGTGCATAAAGAAAGCATGAATGAGAACCTTTTCAAGAGATGAGGGGAAATGGGAGAAAATGAAAATGGCTTTTAAAAGAAATATGATTTTACCCATTTAAATCGTAAATTTAGACAGAAGCGCAGCAAGATTAACAATTTCGAGTAGAAGAACATTTAATTAACTTAAAGATTTTGAGGGCTTACTTTGTAGACTTTCTAGAGAGAAATTTCACATGCTACCTAAGAAGCACAAACACTTCAGGATGGGTGCCGTGTCCATGTCTGACATGTGTCGGACACCAATAAGGTACAAACACACATGTCCACTTGTTTGACTCCTCCCGTGGCAATGGCCTGCCAATTTTTTTTTTAATTATTATTATTATTTTTTTGTACGACACATTAGGGACACTTTATGGACAAACGTATCCTGTGTTTAGACACCCCTCAAGGAAACTTTATAGATTTTTTAAAATAATTTTAGAAAGCTAATTTGTGGTCAAAGTATATATGGAAACAAAGAGGGAAAAAGAAAAAAAACCAAAAATATAACCCGCATATACACTCGTTCTAAATTATATTCATATATACATTGCAAATAAAAAAAAATATTTTTTGCAGTCTAGTAAAACTCTCAAGGAAAGGAAGATAAAAGTCTTGGAGCATATTCCTGCTCTGTATTCTAATTTTTTGAAATTTGCTCCGTCCCATGTCCGTACTTGTGTTTGTGTCTCTGCTTCTTAGCATGCTACCTAATAGTTTATAAGAAAATTTCAATGTTCTCTCTTCTTCTAAAATAATAATGCTGCTGTAGTTCCTAAGGATCTCTCAGTACAATAGTGCCCTGAGGAGAATATGTTGAGCTTTCGATTTCTCCTAGCATTTGTTATATATTTGGGTAAAAAATTTACACAACAAACTCTATTGCCCTTTCGCCCCACCTGCCTAATCAGTCTTGCTACTGAAGCTCACCTTGCCTGAGTTTTTTCTTTTTTTTTTTGTTGCACATATAGTTATATGATACTGACCTTGTTGCAAAATAGGAAATATGGGATGAAATTGGGGAGACTGATTGTGAAAGGGACAGGATGCTTCTGCAGTTAGAGCAGGAATGCCTTGACATTTATCGGAGGAAGGTAGAAAAAACCAGAAAGTACAAAGCTGATTTGCACCAGTCATTGGCTGAGGCTGAAGCAGAAATCACTAACCTCATCTCTGCCCTTGGTCAACGAACTTCCGTCCCATGGGTCTGCATAATTTTACTTTGTTGTTGTTGCTGATGATGATGATTATGTTAATATTATTGATTTATTATGTGTCTCATATGTTTATTTCTTTCTTCTGTAGTATGAGAATGTGAAGGGTACTCTGAAAGAACGAATGTCTTCTATAAAACCTGTTTTGGAGGATTTAAGGTTGATGAAAGAAAAAAGAATCGAGGAATTTTCTGAAACACAGTTGCAGATTGGTCAGATTTGTGCTGAAATAGCAGGGAATGGCCAGTTTATTAATTCTGCTGAGCCACAAGTAAATGAGCAGGAGTTGACTGTGAAGAAGTTGGGGGAACTGAAATCACAACTTCAGGAGCTTCAGTATGAAAAGGTTCCTTTGATAAATGTGGTTTGGAATTATAATTATGATAAGACAGTAACAGAATTTCAAGTCAGTTACGTTTACCCCTTTGTTTTGCTATATATGCAGACTCTTCGTTTGCAAAAAATTGATAGCCATATCAGTACAATTCATGCACTTTCGGTTGTTATGTCACTTGATTTCAACAATATGATTACTGAAGTTCATCCGAGCTTTGCTGGTCCTGCAAATGGTCGATCAAAGAGCATTAGCAATGAGATCCTTGCAAGGTTAACAGGTCTGGTCCATTCACTGAAGCAAGAGAAACAACAAAGGCTACGAAAGGTTACCTCTTGATGAATCTATTCCCTTGCTCTTTTTCTCTCTCCTCCCTTCCAAATATATATATTTGCTTGGCAACTTCACATTGAGTTTTCTTAGAGGGAAGATATCTAGTCAACATGGGCCTAAGGCCAAGTTTGGCATGTGCCCAAAAAGCCAAAAAGTTAAAAAGTTACTTAAAAAGTTATTACTATTCACCAACAGTCAAAAAGTACGGCTGCATAACTCTCAATCCTAATTTTCTCCTACGCACTAATTTATACAATTTTTTAATACACATTTTTCCATAAAAAGTCAAAAAGTTAACCTAAACAACCATATTTTTTTTCTTAAATTTTTAGTCCAAAAAGTCAAAAAGTGCACTTATTTAGGACATCCCAAACAATCCCTAAATTAAATATTGGAAACATGTTATTACTTCATACCGTGCTTCATATTTCTCTTATGCACTGATTATGCAAATTTGCTATCTTGTTTCTCCATTCATGGAAATTTCGCTATCAATGCTTGGCTGTTTGTCTGCGTTCAGGCATTCATTTATGATCTGGCTTATGTCTACCTTTTTAGCTTAGAAAATCATGTTAGAATCTTATAATGCTAATCCTTTCACCCTTAATTTTGTTAAACTGACTGTTGTGGCATTGGTCTTGGTTTAGTAAATTTAATCATCCTTACATCTTATTATTAGTTCTAATTTGCCACTCCAAACAGTATCTGTTGGTGTGATTACAAAAAACAAAATAAATATTGAGGGATTTTTGTAGCCAGATATCACAATCGCATGATGGCACGAAATTTAGCACTAGATCAATTTACATCCATGGGATTTTTTCTTCCATCCATTATATTAAATAATGGGTTAACACTACACTTTCACAAAAAATAATAGCAGATTTTTGGAGCCAGAAATCACAATTGCATGACAGCACGAAACTTAACACTAGATCAATTTACTTCCATGGGTGTTTTTCTTCCATCCATTATATTATGCGTTAACACTCCACTTTCACAAAAAATAATAGCAGGTACACAATAATCCAAATAAATAGATAACACATAGGCAGTGTTTGGGAAGGAAGTTTTTTGGTTTTTTTTTCACTAAAAGACAAATTGGTTACAAAACCAAAAAAGACAAATCCAAACAAAATATCACATAAAATCCCATAATTATTTCACTTTTTCTCTCACAAATATCACATCCAACCACAAAAAAACCCAACTATCTTCCCAAACACAAAATTTTTTTCTCCAATAATATCCTACAATTAAAAAAACCTTCAAAAAAACCCACTTTCCAAACACCCACATAAAATAGTCATAGATGTGAAAATCATGTTTTTTTAAGGAGATTCAAGCCTTCTGAAGTTTGAAAATTGATGCAACAAACCTTCTCTTGTGGCTCATGTCCTTCAAGATACGACAACCAGACAGTTCATTGTGTGGCTCAGACCCACCCTGCATACGTGGGTGAGCTTGAAGCTTCACCACAAAACACCTTTCTTTGGCCTGAAAAAATACCTCAAGTGTTTGATTTAACCGAATACTGAGTAGCCCAGGCCTCATCCATTTGACTAACCAATTACACATGTGACTACATAATCGTTGATCAAGGTCTAAGTAGCTTTTTTACTCCTAAATTCAATATAAAAGTTTTCTTGCTTTCGTAAGGAGTAACATAATGGGATTCAGATAATATATATATATATTTTGTTAGTTTTTTTGCCCCTACTGTTTTTCAAATTTCACAGAGTTTTCTGTTTCATGAAAAGCATAACCTGATTCGAAAAATAAATGGCAGCGATCCGGCACAATTATTCTTAATAATATTGATCAAATTCTATATAGTCTATTTGAAGCCAACTTTGTTGAGGAAAAACTCTACACAATATTCTTTCCCATGGACAACGTGCATAGCACATCTTTAAAAAATAATGCATGTCCAAAGATAGATTTCAACTTGACATTACCACTTGCAAGAATCTTGGTCATGTCAAACTATATTAACATCAAGCATAATGGTTATCTTTTCTAAGGGACGGCAAATTTTGAACCAATATTTGTCAGAGGAAGTGCCTAAAAGCACTAAAATCTGCCCACCACCTTCCATGTATTGCTGCATGAAAATTTCTATAATCATAGCTATAAATGTCTTTTCAATAACATTAATCTGTGGGACATACGTTTCTAGCATCTAAAAATTCGAGCTGTATGCTCACTCTTGCCATATATAAAACATTCATTATTTTGTTGACTCTGTGAAGGGGTTCCTTGGTTCTTTGAGCTGGGGCTATCTTTTTTGCGAGGTTTACTATAAATTTTTTTTTTTTGACTTCAATAGAATAATTTCCAAAAAATGAGATTTAGGAAAGAATTTATTTACAAAAATTAAATTTATCTTTGTGGTGGAATGTCCATTTCCATGTTACACATCGATGCATGCATCTCCTTCTGCTACACCAGAGGGGCTTGTTTAGATTTCCAATATTACCATTGCGCTTCTTGTGTTGTCTCCAAATTTTAGATCCCTTTCAAATTATTGGAGTGATTACCAAAATTAAATAAATGTTGAGGGGATTTTGAGCCATAAATCACAATCACAAGAATACCCCAAATTTTATATGGTGAGACTAAATCAACCTGCATCCACAAGCTTTTTCTTTCATCCATTATATTAAATAATGGGTTAACACATCCTCCACAATCACAACAAATAATAGTGGGTACACAAGTTCTCCAAATGAATAGATACACATAAAACAAATTGAGGCACACAAATCTCGTTTTCTTTAGAAAGAGTCAAGCCCTCAATGGTTTTCAATTCTTGAAAATTGGTGCAACAAATCTTCTCTTGTGGCTTGTCTCCTCTAGAATGCAACTTGCAATAGTTTGTCGTGTGGCTTAGGCCATCCTTGCACAAGTGGCTGAGCCTAAAGCTCCACTATAGAAATGCTTTCTTTGGCTTGAAAAGCTCTCAAATGTTAGAGTCAGTCTTTTGGAAGAATATTATTGATATATTATTAGCAATAATGCATGATTTGTTAAAGGTTGTGTAGCTGGGTCCATTTATAGGCTCTATGGCTTTCGGACATTAATGATGACCTAGTAAATATGATGACACATCCAATTCAATGTAAATTAGTTATACAAATGTTTTGTGTGGATGGACGGATGGATGTACCTTATAAATGTTGTGTGTACATTTAAATATTTAAATATTGCTAGGACTAATGACTTTAAAGCGTGTTGTTACTAAGAAGGGATGTCAATTCACATATATAGCTCACGAATTTTTTTAGCAGGTGATGTAGGATCTTGGATATTACATTCACCCTTCATACGACCACATGTTCTTGTGGGGTCAATGGTTCTCACCACGTTGTTGCCATTGTCCAAAGCCATTGTTCGCCAGACCAGTGCACTAAGGATGCATAGTATGTCATAGCTTCGCCCACACCTTGCTAAGCAAGTCTTGGTTTGATACCAATTATAACACCCCCATCCTAAATAGTACTAATATTGTCCGCTTTGCCCAAGCTCTTGACTTTAAAACGGGCTGTTACTAAAAGGGATGTAAGCTCACATATAGAGTCCAAGAAGCTAAATGAGGTCTACCATGGTATTACACGATTCCTTTGTTTACAGGTCATCCTTTACGAGACATGAGGTGCTTATTCCTTGAGAACGTTTGAACACTTAGATCTAAATGGTATTGGGGAGTTTGTAAAGGTTCTACTAGTGTTAAAATAGATTTGTAGTTAAATATTTTTCAATTGGTTCCTAGTTTTAAATTTCCCTTCGTTGAGAAATGTTTTAAACTCATCATATTAACCTTGAGGTTACGGGTTCGAACCCATGGGCACCTACTTTGTGCATATTATGTCAAAGGATAGGTCGACCCCCAATTTAACCCTCCCAAACCCCATCCAATAGTTTTTTATTTTTATTTAAAATTAATTAATTAATTATTTTTAATGTTGAGTTGGAAAAAGCTATGAATGAATTAAACCATCCCGTTGATGGCTAGTTTGATAGGTTTAGAAATTTTGTCTTTTTTGTGGTTGTACAAGCAAGTTGTAGTTCATAGCGTTTGGTTTTTTATGTACCCCCGAGAAAATTACAAATTTTGTGCAGGTAATAAAAACTTGTAAATTGTTTTTAGGAGACTTCTTGTCCCCCCTGCTTTTGTGCTCCTTTTGTTCTTCTTTTCTTTTTATTAATAACATCTCTTTCTCTGTTGTTGATATATGTATATTTTTTTTAAATGATGCGAAAAAGATGAAGATTCAAGAGCTCATTTAGCTATAGTTTGAGAGGAAATATTTGGGGAGCTTTTAAAGTATGTTCAGGAAATTGTGAGTGCTAATGTTAGGACATCTTCATATTGTTGAAAAAATATGGTTTTATTTTGTTGAGAAAGATGGCATGTTGTGTTATGTATACCCTTTGTAATTGTAGCAATGAGGATTGTGAAACTGACATCAAGAATTAGAGGGCCTAGGAGAAAGTCAAATGGTTTAGACCAATTTAATTTCTCAAACACACATTAATGTGTACTAATTGGGCTTTGTTTTTTTATATTCAATAGAAGTAGTGAAAACCAAGACTAGATTGTATTTTCTCTGAATGTCATGTCACCTAAGAAAAGTAGTGGAAGGGTCAAAGAAAAGAAGTGCATATTCGTTTCTTTTTGGGGTCTGATAATGAAAAGGAGTAAAACATCGTTCGATTCTTGTTAGTTTTACTTCAACTTTGTTCCTTTGGGCCTCATTACATTGCACCAGCGAGGATTACTGCAACCAGTTATGATAAAAAATTATGTGACTGATCAGGCACTGCATGTGACCTTTTGTGATTTGCATATCATGCACACAATTTTTGTATGACCTTGCTTTCTTAAAAATAGTTTAAAGTGGTTTCAAGTGTTGGGGCTAATTAGGAAATAAAAAGAGGCAAAACACAGCAGGTTAACATTGGCCGTAACTTGAATAGATCATTGAAAGCTA